CGGCTGCCCGGCAGCGAGGGGCAGGCGCGGAACTCCTGGGTGACGAGTCTCTCCTGCTCGCAAAGGCCCCGGGAAGCCTGTGATGTGGGGAGGGTCAGGGAGCGGCGGGCGCACTGGCTTCCATGCTCCTCGACACCCAAGCCCTGCACCCGCCCACCGGCATTTTCTATCGTGCTGTTACCCTGCAACGGGAGGCCTGGAGAGGTTGGAGTGGGACGGAAATGACCAAGACACGGCCCTGCCTTCTGCCGAGTGTGGCCCGGCTGGAGAGAAAAACGGGAAGGAAGCGCATTGCCGCAGAGTGCAGTGAAGGCCCCGGGGTGCGCGTTTGCACAACCGTACAGAGACCACGGGAAACGCACTTTGCATTGCAGCACCACACACATCCACAGCACACAAGCACGCCCCGCCCACGCAGTGCCGTGACGTGACCCTCATCTTGACCACGTGCAGTGCACGCCGCTAGTCTCTGTTCTAGTCTGTTCATTCTCATTTTTTAAAACCCGACCCTGACTCACCAACTTGTTTTCATAACCCACGAATGGCTCCTATTCCGCAATTTGGGAACGGCTGTGCAGACTGAGTTGAATCCCACTACCGTGTGCTGCAGACCTGTACTGACTCAGACGCGGGGGTGCTCACGGGAGCCAGGCGGGATTTTAGATGGGATGCGGCAAGGGGAGGCGGGGGGAGAACATCCAGGGCAGAGCTGGCGGAGCGGAGGCCGGAGCGTGGAGGCCGTACTGGCAGAGGGATTGAGTGGCGAGCAGGCGGGTCCAGGCGGCAGGGCTCTCAGCTATCCAGGAGCTCGACAGCTCCCACACAGGGGAGCACGTGCCTCGTGCCTGCTGCAGAGACACGACCGGCCTCTGCCGGGAGGTAAGGTCGAGCGGAACATGCAGAGGAGAGACTGCTGGGAGCCGTGGGCGTGGAGGGGCGCCAGCTCCAATGCCCAAACTCCAAAGCAGGGCACTGCTGCTGCAGCAAACGTCCGCAGGTGTGGCCATGTGGGACCTGGGAGTGAGAAGTTCTCCTCCTCGAGTGTACGCTCCCAGGACTGTGCCTGGGGGCAGCCATGATAAGCTATGGACTCCTGTGTAGGGTCAGATGCCATGAAGAGGCCACCTGGCCTGTGAGCGATCTGCACTCCGGAGCTCAGAGGCCGGTCCTGGCACTGCTGGCTGCCTGTACTCGGCAACCGACCTCACCCTGAGCGCCTCGACTCCCCTCTCTGAACAGGGCGAGTCTCACGTGGCTCCCCAGGAGCACTGTGGGATCAGCTAGCACAGCATAGAGCTCAGGGCGTCGCAGTCTCGGGGCTCTGCTTTCCACCCTGCTTTCTCTGCACTGCTCGGAGCTCTGGTGGTCCCAAGTCCCACCTCAGTGAGTTTGCCACGGCGGTGTTCACACGGTTCACTTGCTCTTTCCCCATGTGTGCAATTCTTAGACTCTCAGCTCCGTACGCTGAGGCTTTCTACAGCCCTGGCTCACCATCTCTCTCCTTTGAGCCTCAGTGTCTTTACGGCACGGGTATCTTTTCTATTTATTATGTAACCGTCCAATACTTTTCATTTTTTTCAGGGGCATTTTCCCTCTCTCCTCCAGGCCATCTGACTCCGAGAAGGACAGGCAGACAGGACGGAGCAGGTTGCAATGCTGTGACCCGTGCGCGCAGCCTTACCTGAGCCTGCAATGCTGGTGAGCTTGCTCCGCTCCAGTGGGGGAGCCCATTTTGCCCAAATTGTAAATTGACCCGTCCATGCCATTCCCTGAAATGAAAATCATTAAGGCTTTTATCTTCTAGACTGTGAGAACCCGTGTCCCACTCAGAACGAGACAGCGTCTGGGTACCTGGGCCATGCCCTGGACTGTGCGGATCGCGATGACCAGGACCACTCCGAAGTCAGCAGCCAGTGGCGTGAAGAGAGTGAGGAGGGAGGAGATGAGCAGCCCAGCCCCCAGCATGTGTTTTGCTCCAAATATCCCCGCTAAGTACCCACTGGGGATCAGCGTCAGTAAGATCCCGTAGTTGATGGCACTGAAGATGAGACCCTGGGTCTCTGGGCTCCACTGATACACAGAGGCCTGGAAACAGCAGAAACAAAAGTCTTGCTTAGGACGTCATTTCATGAACGTTTACCTCACGGCCAGTTACTTGGCGTTGCCAAGGCCACGCTAGAAAATACTATTTCCGTTTTTCTCCATTTTTTCCTCATTTAAACATTCCACCTTTTCCAAACAGACACTAATCATTCCACTAATGTGCTTCTCTTTGGAGAGAAAAACAGGAAATGCAGAAAAGAGATAAAGAAAATGATTCCATGAATGAACCATAGGAAGGAGATGGGAAAAGCCGTCAGGAGCGATTGCACCCGGGGAAGCTTCCTCTGGCTATTTTGCCACTCGCCAAAGTTGTCAAGCCTACCGATTCTCATTTCAAAGGATGGGGAAAGCACAACTTAACCGAACTCTTACCCAAATCTGTCTCAGCTGGAACGAAAAGTTCGGGAGTGACGGTTTGCCCTGCTGAGCTAAGGTCCTGAACTCGCGCTATGAATGGAGCACAGCCTTCTGCTGTAACTCAGTGTACGATTGTCGGCAGCTGGTTAGGGAGGTGGCGCCTGCAGCAGAGCGGACAGGCACCCACTTGGAACAAGCAACACGAGCAGCGATTCCTGTTCCAGCTAAGGTCTGAGGATGAACGTGAGTGAAGTGCGGGCTTGGAGCAGAGAGAGCTGCCCGGGGGTTCTAGAAGGAAGCCCGATCGCCGCTCCCTGAAGGACGTCTACAGTCGGACAAAGCAGTAAGAGAAGCTTATTCGCAGCAGGGAGACGGCGAGTGGACTTGCATTTGAGATGGTACCAAAGGGTCAGGACTGCGGCTTAGGGCAGAAACTTGCCCTGGGCTGTGAATAGCAGTTATACAAACAGTGGGACCTTATTTTTTTTAAGGCTTTTGCTACAGGGCATGTGCGCTCACCAAAGAGAGGCGGTGAGAGAGGCAGGGAGAGGGGCAGTGAGAACTCACACCTGGGTGGTGGTCATGCCACAATCCCTTCTCCTCTAATCTTCTCCTGGGATTGCACGCACGCCCATGTGCCCAGCGTGAGTGTTAGTCTGGGACTCAAACCACAGTAGGCCATATGGGAGACCAGACCAGAGCCTTAACCACCATGCCACCTGCCGGCCCCAGGGACCGGATTTTGAGAAGTGCGGCGTGTGGAGAGAGATGGCATGTGTGGCTATGTCAAGGTGTCCGGGACTTCTGAGCACTTCGGGCTTCTGCGCGTGACGGGAGGGAGCCCCGAGTGCAGAGGTCGGTACAGGAGCTGGGCTCGCTGTGATAAACCATGAACTATGAATTACAGGGCTGACGTCAGAGACGGGCAGGACATAGCAGCTTAAAGGACTTTTTAATTTAAAAAATAAGAAGGGGCATATTCGTGATTCTCGTACACATGTTAACAAACATTTTGACAAAGATTTTATTTAACTCACTGACTCACGGGCGCTCAGTGAGAGGTTACGACTGGTTGGAAGGCGAGTTCGCAGATACACGAGAAGGGGGCAGTGCTGAAATAAATGTCAAGTGGAAGGACAGTGGGCGTCTTCCCCTGGGGAGGGAGGAGGGGAGTATTCCTTGCCGTGGCACGGACAAGCTTCCTCTGCAAAGCCACAGAAAAGTAACTCGCATTCCCAGTCATTTCACAGAACTGGCAGAGAACGCAGTTTCCAAACGGTGAAAGGTGCAGAGACCCCAGTAGGTCAGGTAACCCAGAAGGGCATGGACACCAACTAGTTAGCTTTTTTAGAGAGATTTTGCAATAGGGCGTATGAACTCGCTAGAGAGACAGAGAGACAGAAAGCGGGAAATCACCCCCTGGGGGGATGGCCACACGCAATCCCCTCTCCTCCAGTCTCTTCTCAGGATTTGAGGCATGCACACACACGCGCCTGGAGTGAGTTTTAAGCAGTCGGTCTGGGACTTTACCCACGGTCAACTACATGGGAGTCCAGCAAACCAGCTGCTGGCCCCACTCACCAACTAGCTTTTCTTCGCCACACCCAGATCTCTGGTGGTTCCCTTTTGTAATTTTCACATCCTATCCCTACGGCCCCCCCTCATTCTAATAGTTTCAGTGGATGATTATTGTTGCCACGGAGGTGAGCCGTGTCTCGAAGAAGAAGTAACCTCCTGCATTTTAGTTCGTCGTGGAAACTCCCACTTCCGCATACTGCGGAACGAAGACCCAAGCCTGCCTTCAGGTTGGGAGTGTCGTGTCAACGAAAGCCGCTCTCTCACACTCACCCTGGCCTCGCGTTCCCAGGTGGGCCAGCTGAGGTTGCTGAAGGTGTCGGCCAGGGGCGCGTCAGAGGCATTGGCCAGGCCGCGCGGCCGGGTGCTGTTCACCATGGTGACGATGGCGATGCTGAGGCTCACGCGCTGGGTGATCAAGGTGAAATTCGAGAAGTGCATGACGAGGGCCAGCCCATAGCGCAAGGAGCAGAACTCTGGGCCTGCAGTGCAGAGGTGTGCAGTGAGCCCCTGGCGGCGGCTTTCCGTTCTCCCACAGGGTGTCCGAAAGGCTCTGAGGGTGGCACCAGCCCCACTGTCCTTTCTTACAAAGTCATGAGGTGACCATTCTCTGTCCTGTTCTTGGTTGGCTTCAAGAAAGCGCATCTGGGGTCTTACAATTAAGTCAAGCAAATATTTACTTAACATAATGATTTATTCTGAGGAGCTGGTGGGTGGCATGGTGGTTGGGATGTTGGATTCCCACAGGGCCAAGCATGGTTCAAGTCCCGGACTTGAAAATCACTCTGGGCACAGTTGCCTGCATGCCCAAAGTGGTGGGAGGAGAATGTGATTGGGTGCATCCCTGCCTGGGGGTTATCTCTCACTTTCCCTCTCTCTGTCTCTCTCTGGTGAGTGCATGTGCTCTATGGGAAAAACCTGATAAAAAGAGGAAAGGAAAGCATTGATTCCGAACGCCTTCCTTCAGAGACGTGGGAGGCAGAAAAGAAGTAAATGAAGGCCCCAAGGACGGACCTCCGTGTCGCACTGCCCCAGCTGCAGCGAGCAGGGACGGCAGGGCCAGGGCCCGTCACGAAACCCATGTCTCCGGGCTGCAAGTCCGTGGTCCGTCCCGGCTAAGGCACGGCCGCTCCCACGGAGCTGGAGGTTTGCACATGCGGAGCTGCGTGTGTGCGAGGCCGTGCACGCTGCGGAGCCGTCTCTGTGGCCTCTGGAGTCGTACTGGGAAGGAGCACCTCATGGCTCAGAGTGACGTCCCCAGAAGGTTTTTTGTTGCTAGGCTCCGCCTTCACATATGTTAGGTTCTTTTAAAAAAATAACTATTATTTTATTTTTTTGGAGAGGTTTTTGCTATGGAGTATGTGTGCTCACCCGAAAGACAGAGACACAGACAGACAGACAGAAAATGAGAAATCACCCCCAGGGGAGATGGCCACATCACAATCCCTTCTCCTCCATTCTCCTCTCGGGATCTTGGATGTGCATGCACACGCGCCTGGCGTGAGTTTAAGACACCAGGTCCAGGACTTGAACCACTGTCAACTATATGGGAGTCCAGTGACATAGCCATTATGCTAACTGCTGGTCCCAAGAAACAACTGTTTTTCGTGTGTGTGTGTGTGTGTGTGTGTGTTTTGTTTTGTTTTGTTTTTAACTAAGTTTATACCTTAAAATGGTGCTGGAAGGCTGGCCAACGCATTTCAAAGGCAACGCATTTAAACCCTCTGTGAAGTAGAACAATGTCTAGTACGGAATGTCCCATGGCAATGAAAGGCGGTTTCTCGGTGTATTTGGAAAATGGAGACAGAAGAGAAAGAGAGGGAGCCTGTGAAGCCCACACAAAATCTACTGGGAGGGGCCGTCTCTGAGAGCCAGGTCAGGTAGGGGTGGGCTGTCTGCAGGAGGGCCGCCTCCGTGTCTGGGAGGTGTCTTGGTACGGACGTTACAGCAGGGGCACATCTGTATTTGGGATTTCCTCGCAATGACTTTTTCAAAACCCGTTCTGGGGGCTGGAGGGTGGTGCAGTGGTAAAACAGGACACCTGGCAGGTCCATCTGGGAGGCCTCCCTGGCTGGGACGCTCTCTCCCTCCCTCCCTCAAGGAGACAAACAAACAGAAGGACTTGGGCCAGCAGGTGGCATGAAGGCTAGGGTGGCTGGGTCCCACATGGTCAACTTCAAGTCCTGGACCCGGTCGGTGACTTGAAAATCACACCGGACATGTGTGGATGCCCAGGACCCCCAGAGGAGAATGCAGAAGGACTGTGGCATGGCTACTCCCCGGGGAGCTTTTTCGCTTTCCCTCTCTACCTTGGGGAGTGGGCGTCCCAACTGGACTAAATACCTCACTCCGCTCCACGGATCCCGGGACTCAGCGGCCACCGGGCTTACTGTCTGCTGGCTAGCCCTGCGGCTCCCCAAGGACAAGGCCGCCCAGGGACAGGGTGGAGCTGCGCCCACGCGGACTGGGACAGGGCCTCCCTGCCCTGGTCAGAGGGAGGAGGGAGCAGGGGCGCAGAGGGAGCAGGTACCTTTCCTGGGGGCGGGCTTCTCCTCCATGTGGCCTCTCTGGGAAAGGGCCCAGGCCCTGTGACTGAGACTCCGCCTGCCCCAGATCTCTTCGATGACGATGGTCTTTGATCTGTGGAGAGAACGTGACACGCAATTTAACGTCGTCGCTCCTCTCAGCCCCCATGAGGGTCGACCCACGCCGCCCGTGTGCTTCCTGCTTCTGCTGGCCCGAGAGTAGGAGGCGTGGGGCCCTGCTGTCCCCGACCACCCTCTCCTCATCTGGTGGCAACCACCAGGCTCCTCCTGAGCGGAGCCCTGGAGATCCAGTGAGCAATCGCAGGCACTCTGCCGAGCCCCGAGGCCGGGCGGCTGTAAGGAGCTGCAAGGCGCATCACAGGTCACGGGACAAGATGGTAAACCGGAGCTGGTGCTCGAGAGGAAGGTCCCAGAGCGCCTCCCTCCACCCTGCACGGCCACACAGGCCCAGGCGTCTCCTTGGGCGTGAAGGGTGGTGCTGTGAACGCTTCCTGGGCTCCACCGGTGAGCTGAGTTCGCTGCGCAGGCCGGACGTCCCTGGGCTGACCGGTCTCCCGTTACCTGGGAAGTCACACTGAGCGTGGGCTTTTGACTTCCGCTGCAAGTAAGGCCAGCTCCTCTGACAGGCAGAGACCCCGCGGCGTCGGGGGTACACGTTTGAGCTACAGACGCTCCTGTTCGGGCACATGCCCGCATCTCCCTTGAACAAGTCCCATCCTGAGAGTATCGCATTCTTCGCCAAACCCCAGCTTTCCCAGAGCTTCAGAAATGCACGCGTCGCCTTTACGCCCCGTCATTCAAACTTTGTACTCTTTCTGCGTGAAATATAAAAGACGTATCCACATCCTTAAAGGGGTCCATGGTCTGTGGTCTTAGAGCGGACCGTAAGGAAAGATGCGGATGAAGTTTCTCAGGACGATGTCTTCGCAGCATTCCAGACAGCCCATACTGGAGACAAGCGTGCTAACGACGAGGCCGGGGTGGGGGTCGAGGCTCTGACGGATTCCGGTGAAAGGACGCTGCGAACCTAGCAGTGGCCGGGGACGCAGGCGCTCCGTGTGCAGAGCAGGACGTTCCCTGCTCGTCCGCGAACTGAGAAGGAGCCGGTTCACAGGACAGCCAGCAGCGGTTGTTCCTGGGCTCCAGGACGGGGTGGCCACTTCATTCTTCATGAGTTTCCGTATTTACCAAATTTCTTTCTTTCTTTTTTTTTTCAAGAGAGATTTTTGTTTTAGGGCACGTGTGTTTGCTGGAGAGACAGAGACAAAGAGACAGAAAGCAATCCCTTCTCCTCCAGTCTCCTCGCAGGATTTTGGGCATGTGTGCACATGTGCCTGGCGTGAGTTTTTAGCTGCCAGGTCCAGGACTTGAGCCGCAGTTGACTACATGGAAGTCCAGCAACATAACCATTATGCCATCTGCGGTTCCGCCAAATGATTTGTTTAATACTTAGAAGAGACTCATTTTACACCCAGAAGAGGTTGAGTGTCTAGGTTATCTCAGGCCTTTCCAGCATGGCATGGAGTGTTTTCTGCCTGCCAGCACCTCTAGAATTCGGTAAATAATGTCACCCCATTTGAGTTTCGAAATTCTTTTTTTATGGCAGTGACCCTAATGGAGGCCCAGTGGCCAAGGGCCAAGTGTCCCACTGGCCAAGGTCAACACTGGGCCAGGTGCTGGCTGTGGCTGTGTGTGGGAAGCCCCAGTGTTGCCGAGATCTGGGTGGCAGCAGGGGGTCAGCTTACCGTCTACACTCCGATCCCAGCAGAATCCACCTGGGTGCAAACCCAGAGTTGGACTGGTTTTCTATTTGAGTTCTCTGGTTGTGTAAGCTACCTCGACTTCGCTTCTGCCCACGTGTTAGCTGTACACACACAGGAGTGAGGCCTCATTGCTACACAAAGCTCAACCACTCACTCTCGATGACTCTTACGACACTGAACTCCAGGCCGAAGGAGACCCAGAGATCTCTTCTCCCCGTTCTCTGGCTGCCTAACTGAAAAGCCTTCGATGGTTTTCACGAATTCAGGTGCTACTTTGAATTGTGTCTCTATGTCTAATTTCAGTCGTTAATTTTACTGTTTTCTTGGTACAAGACAAACAGAAATTAGACCACCTTCCATTCTAAACCTAGGCCTTTCTGTGACACAGTCCTGGGAACTCCTTCTGAAATGATCACAGGGGTGCCAGGCTATGGGGTCTGCATGCCGACATGACAGAGCCTTCATGGCCACCCTCGGGGCATGCTGACATGACAGAGCCCTCACTGCCACCCTCGGGACGTGCTGACATGACAGAGCCTCCCTGCCACCCTCCGGCGTGCCGACATGACAGAGCCCTCAGGGCCACCCTCGGGCGTGCAGTCACTCAGGCGTGATGCTTCACAAAAACGGTGTCCTACTGTCCCAGTTCGAGCAGACACAGGAAGAGCAGAGTGGGCTGAAGGAAAGCCCCGCTTAGGCAATAACGTGACGAACAGCGGGTCGCGTCTGAACTTGAACCAGCGCTGTAGACAGCCCTGCTGTGCGGGAGCCGCGGCCCGGCCTGGGCGCCCTCTCCAGGTGACAGTCCCCTCTCTCCGAGTCCCTCACTTCCAGCCTGTCTTGCATCAGCTCTGCAGCCGGTCCCGAGTTTACTCAGAGCAAACGTTACACGTAGGTCAAGGGGCATGAGCGTCCAGCTCCGCGGGACGCAGGGACCCAGCTGGCCGTGCCCTCCCACTGAGGAGCCCGGCAGGTTTCTGAGCCTGGGGCTGTGATCACGCTGGAGGAGAGGGGCCCTCGGCCTTGGCGGGACTGCTCGCTGGGCAGCCCAATTGGACACGCCGTGTGTTCGGGATGCCGCGATGTGTTCTGTCTGTTTTCTATGCTGAGGGGGGCCTGCCTTCCCGACAGCCCAGTAGATGGGAGATCTTATACCCTGGACAAGTGTCACCGAGGTGGCAAGGACAGGGACGAGCAGTCACACGTCTGGCACTTTGGCCTTCGGATCTGTGAGTGCAGACTCACAGAAAAGAAAATGCACTTCTAAGCAAGAGTTTCTGACGGGTGGCTCAATCGGCTTTAAACCCCTTTTCAAAGAGTGTTCTCCGGCCTAGAATCCCAGAGGGCGTGGGGAGGGCTGGGCCCTGACTCGAGCTCAGAGAGCCCGGGAGAAGCAGCCCCTGGAGTGGGTAGGCTGAGCCCCGTCCCCACTGCCCCCTTCCGAGGGCTCGTTGCTCTGAGCAAGCTGGCTCTATGTCCCTGTGTCACTCTGTGACTTCGTGTGTGGATTTAATGAAGCAAAAAGAAGCTGCAGTGCCCCAGAGGGAGGCGATTCCGGAAGGCAGGACTCAGCACAGCCCAGGTGTAATGCGGAGGCCACCCGGGGGACCCCCCAGCCCGGCAGCGCCCTCGGAGGGCTTCCGCCCAGCCAGAGCTCGGGCTCCGGGCCAGGGGAGCAGGATGCTGGCTGTGCAGGTCTCTCCCTCCCTGGCTCCTGCCGCGGCGCTGACAGGACCAGCCATGCCTCTCGGGGCCTTGCCGTGGCCACATGGCGAGGGCTGCAGACCAGTGACCACTGCAGGTCCACACTCTGTGTCGGTCCCACTCCCAAGGTGGTCGCGCTCTCCTTTTCTGGAGAGGCGTTTTGAACACGCATGCCATCCTAAAAGGACTCGCAGTCGGCTCCAAACCTGGATGGGTGCCGACCCGACACTTCAGTCCACACTGAAGCCAGTCCAAGCCCAGGGTGACCCCACCAGTACCCACGGTCCTTGGAGAAGTGCCATCTGCCAAGGGGTCCCCGCCACCTCTGGCCCCTGGAGCCTTGCTCTGGGCTCCTGGTTGAATCCGTCACCTTTTCTGGAACGTCTTTGCTTTGTGATCAGGCGCCTTCCCACATGGAGAACACCCCTGACGCTTTCCTTCACCCTGGAACCGCCCCTCCCTCTCCTGAGTCCCTGACAGCCCACAGCCATCGGCCTACCCAAGGGAAGGCCAGCACTTACCTTCACCATGAACCCCGCATTGGGGCCCTCGGCTATAAAGCTAGCTTGCACAAAGAGGTGGTTTTCATTCTTTCGTCCCTTTCAAATAAGTCCCCGGGGCTTGACAGGGGTAAATAGGAGCCACGTGGCAGCTGGGACGCCCGCTCTGGCCCACGCTCTCAGAGTGGCAGCTGCGGTTTGTCTTTGCTGCTTAATCTTTAACTTCATTTTCAAGTTTTCCCTGATAAAGTGAGTACCTCAAAAGATGTCCCCGTGTTTTTCTGCTTTGAACTGTGCATACAAGCATTCAGTCAACAAGGCCTTGTCCTGGAAGGGAAACGGCGGGATGTGGAAGGGAGGGCAGGGCTCCGGGACGGAGTGCGAGCTGCACCAAGCCACTTCGTGGGCGAGTGCTCTGAGCCCTCGAACAGCTCGAGCTGGCCTCCGCAGCAAAGCAAGGGCGGCCACACCCACTCGCGGTGTCACCGGGCAGGTGCAATGACACGCATGCTGGCCGGCCAGGCCCCCGGACACCTGCTGCTACTTCCAGGAGGTCGGTCCGGCCGGGTGGGCTTTGCTCAGCGACTCGCGGACTGCGGCCAGCTAGTACTTGCCCCCCTGCTCTTTTCCGGGTCGGTCCAGCCCCGCTTCTCCACGGCTCCTGACTCCTGGGTCTGTGTCCTACCTGCATCTTCCGACCTGACACTCAACCCTTGCACCATGAGTGGGCTGCCCCCCCAGCCTTACCAACTTCAGGCCTTGAAGGAGACCCCGAAGGAGCCTCCCGGAGTTGCCCTCACAGGCCACCGCCCTTGTCTGTCACCGCCACAGCTTGGTGGCTGAAAGCATGGCAATCCTACAGTTCTGGAGGCCAGCAGTCCCAGTGGGGATGAGCCCTCAAGGCTCTGGGGGAAGGCCCTGCCCGGGGTGTCATGGTCAGCTGCTGAAAGCCGTGGGGAGGACAGGTGGGAGCCCGCCGGCCTTGCTTGCCCCTGCGGGCCTGGCCCCTCCAAATGCTGCTGAGGCACAGCCCAGGCCAGCAGAGGGCTGGCTCCCAGCCTGGTGGGAGGGACTGCTGAGAGTGGTCCTTGCGAGGAGAGGCTGACGGGAGCGCGCAAGGCCACAGGCAGCCTCGGGGTGCGTGCTTCGGGCTTGCTCTCTCTCTTTTCTTTCTTTCTTTCTTTCTTTCTTTCTTTCTTTCTTTCTTTCTTTCTTTCTTTCTTT